AAGTTTAATAAGTCTCATCCGGGGGGAAGGGGTTGTTAGAAGTAAAGTCTTCATCCTGGTTCATCCAAACCGGGAATAAATAAGCAAACATGGTGACTGCTTTGGGAAGAAGGTTACAGTTTATTGCAGAAAGATAGTTCTTCAGGAAAGTACAGAGGAGAGAGAAGAACAGAGAGCACAGAGAGAGATTGAGCACATGGGCAGTAGGTTTTATACCCCCCCTAGCCTTTTGTTTGGAATAGTTTCCTGTTCCTGTGGCATGAACCTTGAGACTGTTTCTGAGTGTTTGTCTAGGCCTTGATATCTGTGGCTTAATTCTGTTATCATATCCTGCTTCCCAGGTGATGGGGCTGACTCCTAGAGTTTGGGTGGGGTATGCAGATCTTCTCTTTTGTCTTCTTGATTGCTCTAGCTCCAACTTTCTGATGGTTTTACATTGCATTTGTATAGGGCTAAAGTCTTGCTTGGGGCAGAGAGATAGATTTGGGGCCAAGTTTGGTTTTAAAAAGTCCTTTTGAGGAAAAATATATTTTTCTGCCCTTTTTAATATTTCCTTCTGGGCTAACTTTCATCAATCCCCCGCTTTGTGCCTTAAGTGTGAATTTATGACACACTTATTGGCACAACATTAAAATTGATCTGGTCAGGGAGACTTGGTAGGCAAGCTTTTAAACTGTTAAGCAAAATAATAATAATAATAAGACATTAATGGAGGCAGCAGAAAAAGATCCCTTTAGTGGCTCCCAAAAGGGGAGCTTGCACCCATAAAGTTCTAAAAGTCAGGGCAAAATTTTGTTAAGTGGAAAAGAAATTTATAGTGTCCAATATTCTGTGCCAATCATTTTCAAATGTTGGATATCCCCTTTAGCTTCCAGTCAGGTTTGCATACCTCCCAAAATTCTTCACAGCCATGGTTTTTCTTAGTACATGATCACTGGCTGCCCAATTTCAAGGGTTGTTTCCTGCCTTAGCTCTTAATTCAGTGCATCCAGGTTTGTAATGCCCAATTGAGGTTAGCCATACAGTATGCCAGGCTATTAAATTTTTCTTTAAATTGCACATAATGAGCTCTAGGAATCCCAATCTGAGCCCAACAGTGCAAGATATTCAGGGCTGAAGTTTGGGATCTCTTTTCCTGTTGCTTCCTTAGTCAGGGCATATGAATTGCAAATCACCTGAGGGGGCTTGGTTCCCTCCCCCTTGGAATCTGTTAGAAGTTGGTCCCACAAAGCTTTGGTGCAATAGAGCAAAAATCAGCCTGGAGAACTTTACTAAAGGTAGGTGGAGGGGATAGACTCAAGTGTAATTCTGAATGGTGTGTGTGTGTGTGCATGTATGTGCAGCTACTTTTACAAAATAGTCAATACAAACATTCTGGATCAATTTTCCCTCCCACCAGATAGAAGTCCAAGGTGTTCAGTACTTGTTCTGCCACATATTCCTAAATGCCATCTCTCCATTAATACATTCAACTGGCTTGTTACAATACAAATGGGGCAAGAAAGAAAAGTTTACAATGAGTTTCCACCCTCCCCCCACAGTCTTAATTTTCTCTTCTGAGGCTTCACATGGCACCACCTTCCTTCTGCAGCTCTCACAGGCATCTGGGTAAATGGTAGGACTTGGGAAGATGTTCCACTCAGATTGCATGGTGGCTTTTTAGTGGATGGCTGGATTCAAAACTCAATTCCATGGCTCAAATGGATGGAGGCAGCATCTGGGTCTGTGTGTTCTGCTTCCAAAGGCTTGGGAGAGGGTTTCAGGGCTGAAAGATACAAGAACAAGGTCTCCCCCCCGCTTTCTGGGTGGACTCTACCAGGAGAGGCAGACAAAAGGTATGGAGAACAAAGGGCAGGAAAAAAATTGGGAGGGGGGTAGCTTGCAGACAGTTTGAGAATGCTGAAAACTCCAAATAATTTTAAAAGCCTAATATTTTAATATGTGCAACTTGCCAAGGGCAGGAGAATCTGCCTTTAACATTTATTCTAAAATAGACCACATTATTTTAGAGATTCGAAAATGCTTAGTTGTTTCAGAAAAATTTCATAGTAGTTTCACCAGTAAGTTTTAGGATGTGAAAAGTAACTTAGGAAAATTATTTCCCCAGACAAGCAGACTTGAGCTTCAAAAGGCTCTTGTAGATAGACACACATTTTTCAGGAAAAAGATAAATAAAGCACATACAGTAAATGCAAGTGAAACTTTTCCAACAGATAAACTTAAAACAATCCCTCCTGGTAACTTAAGGCTGTTCTTGAGTGTACACAGAGAGAAAGGAAAACAAACAAACAAACAAACAAACAAACAAACAAACACATTTTTTTTTCTTCACTCTGTTTGTTGGCCAGACAAACAGAGTGAGGTATTTCCTTTTTGTGGCTTATTTTTAAGCATGATTTCTAGCAGAATTTAAAATTCTTTTTCCTTTGGATTTGAAACAGTTAACAGTCACATTTACCTCTCACGCACAGACTTTGACAAACATATATACACAAAGACAAGAGAACAGAAGTCTTAGTTTTACACATCCTAGTCATTCCCACCATAAATTTCAGATAACTCAAGTTAGGGAAGGCACACATTTTAAACATACCACGTGGTTGCATAGAGAAGAGAGAGAGAAAGAGAGAGAATCACTATTTCTTATTTTCCTTTTTAAGTACCTTTATTTAGCCAAATTGGTTTCCCAGCAAAGCCCTAAGCAAAGTCTATTTTTCTTTCATACACTACACAGTCGAAGTCTCCTTGTGAGACTTCTTTCCTAACACAGTAGAAGTCTTCTTATGAGACTTCTTTCCTAACACAGTCGAAGTCTTCTTATGAGACTTCTTTCCTAACAGTCGAAGTCTCCTTGTGAGACTTCTTTCCAAACTTTGCTTTGCTTACAGAGCCTTACCAGCTAGTTGCCCAAATCCAATTCTTTCATTCACTCATTCCATTTCATTTTCACACAGTCTCTCCCTTTTCCCTAACAAAAGGTTCTGTGCTCTGGCCAACCCCCATGCTTTGCAGGTTCTGCCAATTAAACAGATCCTTTCTGCGGCTAGGAAAGACCAGAAGGAGCAAAATCCAACTGTGATTGGGGAAAAAAAGTCTTCTCACTCACACAAACAGAAATACACACATTTCTTTGTTCCCCTGGGCTTTAAACTTAAAATTTAGAGGTACTCACCTTCACTTCTTTCCAAAGCAGCCCTTGAGCTCAAACTCTCAAAACTCCCTTTACTACCCTAGCTCCACATGGGCAAGGCCTGGGAAACCCATCCACAGACACAAGGGGGTCTGCTGCCGGCAAGATGGGGCTTACCAGTCTCAGTCCATTGGAGAGGTTAGCTTGGAGTCCCATCTCGGGGTGCCAAATTGTTAGAAGTAAAGTCTTCATCCTGGTTCATCCAAGCCGGGAATAAATAAGCAAACATGGTGACTGCTTTGGGAAGAAGGTTACAGTTTATTGCAGAAAGATAGTTCTTCAGGAAAGTACAGAGGAGAGAGAAGAACAGAGAGCACAGAGAGAGATTGAGCACATGGGCAGTAGGTTTTATACACCCCCTAGCCTTTTGTTTGGAATAGTTTCCTGTTCCTGTGGCATGAACCTTGAGACTGTTTCTGAGTGTTTGTCTAGGCCTTGATATCTGTGGTTTAATTCTATTATCATATCCTGCTTCCCAGGTGATGGGGCTGACTCCTAGAGTTTGGGTGGGGTATGCAGATCTTCTCTTTTGTCTTCTTGATTGCTCTAGCTCCAACTTTCTGATGGTTTTACATTTGCATTTGTATAGGGCTAAAGTCTTGCTTGGGGCAGAGAGATAGATTTGGGGCCAAGTTTGGTTTTAAAAAGTCCTTTTGAGGAAAAATATATTTTTCTGCCCTTTTTAATATTTCCTTCTGGGCTAACTTTCATCAGGGTGTTGTATCCTGAGCCTGCAAAGGCAGGCTCGGGATGTTGCAATGGTCCCGGGCTGTTGCAAGCTGCCCGGGACCAGACTGAGTGGCACCGGCCTTGCGCGCATGCGCGAGGCGCGGAAGCGCGCCAGATTGTTACCTTTTTGCCCGGGGATTCTATTAAAGGAGACAGAGAGACCTGCGAGCCTCAGAGTTGTATCGGAGAGAGAACAACTGAGAATAAAAGGCTGTTGGAATTAACAGAATGTGTGCTCTTCTTTCACCATTGACTCGAGGACTCAACAGCGATTGTTTAGGAAGAAGGTTTTAGTTTATTGAAGAGGAGAGAAAATGGCTCTGGAAGAAGAGAGAGTACATGTATACCCTCTTGGGCTTTTGTTTGGAGTTGTTTTCAGTTCCTGTTTGAGGCTTTGTATTTCCTGTTTCATGTACTTTAACCTGTGTCCCTTTGGCATCTGTGGGTTAATCCTTTTTTGTCCTGTCTTAGGGTTTGGGTGGGGGTATATAGATTTTAGGCATCTTTGTCTTCCTAAGCTTCTAGCTGGGGGCCTCCAACCTTTCTGGATTCTTTACATCTGCATTTCTACAGAGCTGGTTTCTGCTTGGGGGAGGGAGACTTGAGGCTATTAAGAAAAAAACTGGGCATGCTTTTCTGAGTCTTTAAGATCCTTTGAGGAAATATATTTTTCTGCCCTTTTAATATTTCCTTCTCTGGGGGGCTGACTTCCCACATAATAAAGGCAGGATAATAATATAATTAATAATATAATATAATATAATATAATATAATATAATAATAAATAAAATAAAATGAATAAATATTGCCTTACAGGCTAATTTTTTCCCGCAGATTTTGCTCATAGAAATTTTATAGTTTGACTGTTTGGTTTTATGGCACTTGTAATAAATGAAACTATGTGTATTAACTGATTTCTTTTTTCTTTGAGGGTTTAATTGTAAGCTTATAAAAATGCATGAGAGGGAATAGTTTAAATACAGAAATAAATAAAATTAACATTTTAAGTAAAATATCATAAGGGTTTTTGTCACAAAATAATATTTCTTCTCTTTCTCCTTCTTTCTCCATTAATTTGAAGGTTTTCATCTCTACCACAAATTGCCCCAGATAGTTCCAGAAAGTTGTCTCCTTATTGTGATTGGACTGATTTTAGGTGGAATTATATTTGGGGTACAGGAAAAATCTCCACCAGTGATGAAGAGCGATGTTTTTTTCTTATATCTTCTTCCTCCAATTGTCCTTGATGCTGGTTATTTTATGCCAACACGCCTCTTCTTTGAGAACTTTGGGACCATTTTTTTGTATGCTGTTGTGGGCACACTCTGGAATTCTTTTGGCATTGGCATTTCCCTCTTTGCCATTTGCCAGATTGAGGCCTTTGGTTTGAGTGACATCACTCTACTGCAGAGCCTGCTTTTTGGGAGTTTGATTTCAGCTGTGGATCCTGTGGCTGTGCTGGCTGTCTTTGAAAATATTCATGTCAACGAGCAGCTGTATATCTTAGTTTTTGGAGAATCTCTCTTAAATGATGCTGTAACTGTGGTAAGTCACATATCTACAAATGCATGCAGACAAAACATTTGAAGTTATTTATGCAATAAAACCAGGAAAAAAGCAAAACTAGGTACCTTTTATAAAAATTTTCAGATTTTTGTTCTAGGAGGGTAAAGAACAAAGAGAAGAAGGGATTTCAAAACATTCAGTATCATTCAATAATCTAAATATTCTATTTGATTGCTTATTTCACACAACTCTCTTGCATAAGCAGACATTTGTGGGGCAAGGTTAAAAAAACCCCTCATGTTAAAAACAGTTGGATTTTATTTAGATAGCAATAGCTCTTAGATCAGACATGTCAAACTCGCGACATCACGTGACATTGCACGATGTATCTGAGCTTTTTCCCCATTGCCGGCAATGGGGTGGGCGCAGTTTCCTCGTGACGTGTCCGGCCTGCAGGCCAGCAGTTTGACACCCCTGCCTTAGACTTATATACCACTTCACTGTGCTTTACAGACCTCTTTAAGTGGCTTCAGCATATTGCCCCCAACAATTGCCTTTTAGCTTTCTTACCCTACCTTTTTTTCCTACCCTCCCCATAATGTTTCAGTGCAAGTTCCAGAAATACAGATCCACATTCTCTAATTAACCAGCATCCTTTAACTGATGAGTAACATTAGAATGACAGTCTACAATGGTTCCACTAGGGTCAAGAGAAGTCTAATTATTCCCTGATTTTAAGAATGGTATCGTACATCCTGCCATAAACATAGATTTCAAAATGCATTTTATCAGATATACTGATTTGGTAACAAGAAAGAAATGCATTTTAATTTCATCTAGGATATGGTGGTATTCATCACACAGGAAGTAAAATAGAAAAATAGAAAAATTTATTAGTTAACTGGATAAAATCTCTGAGGGCATCAGAATGTGTAAATCATTTCCAATAAAAGCTAAAACCACCTTTGAAATACTTCCTGGTGTGAATGGTAATTCTATTTTGCAAACAACACCATAAACTTGTAAAGATCTCAACTAATTTGTAGCTCAGAGACTCTGAGTTTCACCCTTTAGCTGTTAAATCAAATGTGAAAATATTGTAATATCCCATTAATGAGTTCTGCTGATTCTGACCTCAGTCCCTGCATTTGGAAGAGGAGTTTGAATTTTGTTTTGCAAAGGAATAGATAGTTGGTTAATTATCCTGTCCTTCTAGCAAAAGATGTTTGATCAGTTATTTGAGAGATAAAAGATAACTCATTGAATGAATTGCTATTAATATTTTAAACATTCTGCTAAAGTTTTAACAGATATAAACATACTTTTTGTCATCATGTATTGTAATTCATATAATTTGTACTCATTCTTTTTCCTTATAAATCACAAGAACACATATTTCACTTCACTAATTGTCTTACTAATGAACTAAACAGATAGTTATACAGAATGCAGCTCATTAAAAGGTGGTGTTAATCTTTAAAAAAAAATACAGAAAAACCAAATTCTTAAGTTGTCTAGTTATTTTTCATGTTAAAATAGACAAATGATGACCTAACTTTTCATACTTAATAAGAATAAACCTATATTCCTATAATATGGTAAGAAATGTAAACTAAATATTACACATACTTTAGCTATAGTGAAATCTTATTTATTTATTTGAATTCATTAGCTGCCCAACTCCAATAGTCACTATTTAATTTTAAACTAAAAAGAAAACTTAGAAAGCAAACATATAGAGTTTGTATGCTGAATCTAAACTTTCATTCAGAAAAAAAGCTTCAATACTTTTATTATGGCTACATCACAAGTAATTCTGTTACAATCACAAGCCCACAAGTACTTATTTCACTATTTTAAGCTCATCACATAGGCAGCTCTATCAGTAACCAGATGAAGGATTAGTAAATTTTCCCATAGGAAAGTTGTATCTAAAAGTCATAAATAGAAACAGTTTATAGTAATGTCTTTAGCGACTGAAATTATTTGAATTAAGTTTTGTATTATTGTATTTTTCCATCTATAAGACGCCCCCCCATTACTGGTATTTCTCGGTACCATCACACAAGGGAGGCAACTTCCTCCGATCAGATGCCGCTCTGCGGACTTAGTCCCACCAATCCCCTCGTCCATTAATCACTGTACTGAGGCGGCTTCCCGGGACCTCTTGCGGCTTCAGCCCGAGCTGCACTGGTGAAAAACGGGTCATAGAAGATGGCTTCAGTGGGAACTCACACAGGCATGCCCTAGGCTATGGAGGTTACCATTATTTTTTCATGCATAAGACGCTGCACTTCTATAAGACGCACCTGATTTTTGAACACGGTGTTTGCAGGAAAAAATAGCGTCTTATACATGGAAAAATAAGGTAATTTTTCTATCCTACTTTTTAAAAAAAAAGAAAAGAAAAGATGAATATAGGAGTGACTGAAAGTTAATGGCCATCCATATGACAATGAATGACCTCTATGAAAATAGTTATTTGGTGGCTACATCCCTGTTCATCACATAGATTTTATGCCATGAAAACATGAGTTAGTTTTCAAGGTGTCATAAGATTCCTGTCTTGCTAATGACAACATCATATAGTATTTTTTCCTAAATTATGTATTCATATATTTAATTCCTACCATTTTTTTTACTCCAACAACCTCCAATATGCATCCCATATTCAGCAAGAGGAAGAGGTAAAAATGTGTTGGGCTGAACCATTTTAGAAACTGCCAGATTAATACTTTATAAAATTCATGTACAGTTTTCATAACAAAGAAGGTTCATTTTTGCCTTTCTCCTCCATTTTCATTTTAATGGAGCATGCAATGTGCAATTGCCACCATCTGGAAAAGTATTGCAGTTTCATTCTGCAGAATATAAACAAGATTAATATCTATCTTTAATGGTTGATATTTGATATGCACCAGGAATGCCTGAGGAGTAGAACAAGGAAGAGCAGGGTGTTTCAAATTGAGATGGGAGCACACTGCTCAGATTTCTATTTCTGTCGCTGCATCAAATACACTGGCACCTCCTTTCACTATTTCTAGCTTTTTTGTGTGGTCCAATTCCTTGTTGCTTGTAATATGGTTATTGCTTTCTCACAGGCTAATGAGATACAATTTCACCAAGCAGGGCTAATAGGATATGCATACCGTGCCTCTTGCCAGTACATCCAGTTTACAGCAAGTATAGCAAACATGTTTTACTTCTATTTTCTGCGAACCATATATAACTTAGGACAAGATATGGTTAATTTGATAGATTGTTGACAAATTGTTGTTCAATTACATGCTATTTGATTATCAATAGAAAACAATATCTGAAGTTCTGAAGTTGGAAAGAGTAACAAAGAATTATAGGTAAGAATGAAGTTTTCTGGAGTTTTACAAAGCCCTAAGTCATGAGAAATAACTTCATTTGTGATTCCTGGCATATTTACTCTGAAACTGCAAATAACTAATATATGCTTATAATAAAGCAAGGGAGCTGGGAATAGAGTAGTGATACATTATTATAGGACATAAAAGAGAATGAGAATCGTTTCCAGAAAGATCCTGGAAAAGATGATCAAAAAACAGACCAGCAAACAACTAGAAGCAAACAAAATTATAACTAGCAGCCAGCATGGGTTTGTTAAAAACAGATCATGCCAAGCCAGTCTTATTTCATTCTTTGATAAAGTGATTAAATTAGTAGATCAGCAAAACGCTGTGAACATAGTATACTTAGATTTCAGTAAGGCATTTGACAAAGTAGACCACAACCTGCTGCTCCATCACTAGATGAATCTGTAGCTGGCTGTACTCAGCAAGTATCCTCAATGGTACTACATCTACATGGAGAGTAGTAAGCAATGGGGTACACAAGGCTCCGTCTTGGCCCAGTACTCTTTAATATCTTCATTAATGACTTAGATGAGGGAATAAAAGGGGAATTCATCAAATTTGCAAATGACACTAAACTGGCAGGAATCGCCAACACCCCAGAAGACAAACTCAGGATCCAAAAATATCTTGACAAACTTTAACAATGGGCCCTATCCAACAAAATGAATTTTAATGTGGAGAAAAGCAAAATTTTACATTTAGGCAGGAAAAATCAAAGGTGTAAGTACAGATTAGGCAAGACCTGGCTCAAAAACAGTAACTGTGAAAGGGACTTTGGAGTCCTAATGGACGATCACTTGACTATGAGCCAGCAGTGTGCAGCAGCAGCCAAAAAAGCTAATACAATCCTAGGTTGTATAAACACAGGCATAGAATCAAGATCACACATATTAGTACCGCTATATAAAACCCTAGTAAGACCACACCTGGAATACTGCAACCAATTTTGGTCACCATAGTACAAAAAAGATGTTGAGACTTTGGAAAAAGTTCAGAGAAGAGCAACTAAAATGATCAAAGGCCTGAAGACTAAAACATATGAAGAAAGGCTGCGGGACTTGGGTTTGGCTAGTCTAAAGAAAAGAAACAGGAGTGACATGATAGTAGTGTTCCAATGTTTGAGGGGCTGCCTCAAACTATTCTCCAAAGCACCAGAGAATAGGACTAGAAACAATGGTTGGAAACTGACCAAAGAGAGAAGCAACCTAGAATTAAGGAGAAACTTCCTAACAGTGAGGACAATTAATCAGTGGAACAGCTTGCCTTCAGAAATCGTAGGTGCTCCATCACTGGAGGTTTTTAAGAAAAGACTAGACCAGTGATTCTCAACCTTTTTAATGCCGCGACCCCCCCCAACCGGTCGTAAGTCGAGGACTACTCAACCGGTCGTAAGTCGAGGACTACTCAACTGGTGCAGCACCGTTTGCAGAATGGGACTTTTGGTGGACTCAGCAGGGCAGAGACAGCCTGGACAATTCCTATTGGCTTTCAAAAGCCAATAGAATAAAAGGGAGTAGCACAGCTAAGGAAAAGGGGGAAAAAATGGCGGACTGCGTTGTTTGGCGACCCCCGTGAAATGGTCGTTCAACCCCAAATGGGTCCCGACCCACAGGTTGAGAACCACTGGACTAGACAGTCACTTGTCTGAAATGGTAT